ATGTTGCAAGGAGGGACTGGTCCTTGGAGAGGGACATCATGTTTGGGAGAATGGAAGGATGGTGCAGGAGGGGAAGGCCCTTGATGAGATGGATCGATCCTGTAATTGAGGTAGTGGGAATGAGTGTGTCAGAGACGGCAAAGTTGGCACAGGATAGAGCAGTGGTTAGGGCTCTTATACGTAGGGTTGCTATGAGTCGCAAGTGACTCAATGGCACATAACAACAACAACAAACAACAAATCCAGGCTTCTGTCATGATTCCATCAATATATGCATGGAAATTATCGAAGAATATCTCTGATGCCACACACAAACTAAACTCTGATTAAGATCATCCATAAACGATTTGAACAGTACATTGACAGAGAAATACCATCTGGGTTTAGAAGAGGCCATGATGCTAGAGATATCATCACAAGTGTCATATGGGTCTTGGCTGAAAACAGAGAGTGACAGAGGAATGTCTATCCTTGTTTCATTGACTATGCAAAGGCATTTGACTGTGAATCTCAACAAATTGTGGCTTTTAAAAGAATGGGAATCCCCAAAAACTTGATTGTGCTCTGCAAAGCCTATGCTTGGATCAGGAAGCATTTGTCAAAACAGAGAAAGTAAATACTGCATGGTTCAAAATCAGGAAGGGAGTGCATCACGGATGAGTCCTATTGCCATACTTTTTCAGAATATATGCAGAACAGATAATTTAGGAGGCTGGGCTTCATGAGGAGGAATGTGACATCAGGATGGAGGAAGACTCATCAACAGTCTGTGTTATGCAGATGATACAACCTTGCTTGATGAAACTGAGGAGGCCTGAAACATTTGCTGCAGAGGGTCAAGGACTATAGGCTGCAATATGGATTGAAGCTCAATATCAAGAAAATGAAGATTTGCACCATTGGGCCAATTGGCAGCATTGTGATAGATGAAGAGTTTGAGATTATGAACAATTCTAGCTTGCTTGGTTTTACAATCAACACTCTTGGCACCAGCAGTCAAGTGATCAAAAGACAAGTTGAATTAGGGAATTCTTCTGTTAGGAACCTCTCTAGAGGGCTAAACAGCAACAATGTCAGTCAAGAGACTAAGGTGTGCCTAATACAGGCATGGTCTGCAATTATCTGTTATGCATCAGAGAGCTGGACAGTGACCAAAGAGAATAGAAGAATTGATGCCTTTCAGCTGTGGTTCTAGAGAATGATACTGAACACACCATAGACTGTCAAGAGAACTAACATGTCTGTTATGAAGAAGGTGAAGCCAAGCTATTCCTTAGAAGCAAGGATTTTGAGAGTCTGTCTCACATACTTTGAGCATGTTGCCAGAAGGGACAAGTCCTTGGAGAAGGACATCATGCTTGAAAGAATGGAGGGACTGCGCTGAAGAGTAAGACTGCAGATGAGATGGATTTACACAGTAACTGGAGAAATGAGGGTAGGTGTGTCAGAGACTATGACATTGGCCCAGGACAGAGCAGGGTTTGGAGCTCTTGTGCATAGGGTCACTATAAGTCATGGTTAACTCAATGGTATATAACAGCAACATCACCATATGCATCTATCACTGTTCTATTGGCCTATGTCTCTCTGTTCCATTACTCTGTGTACCTATCCCTTTTCCTTTGATGTATGTATCTATCACTATTCCTTTGTTCTGTTTATCTGTCACTGTCCATTGTTCTATCACTGTTCCATTGGTCTGTGTATTCACCACTATTCCATTGTTCTATATAGCTATCACTGTCCCAGTGGTCTGTGTATCTGTGACTGTTTCATTAATCTTGGTATATCTATTACTGTTCCATTAGTGTCTGTATCTATCACTATCCTGTTGGTCTGTGTATTCATCACTGTTCCATTATTCTGTATTGCTATTCCTTGTTCGATTGATCTGTATATCTGTGACTACACATTGGTCTGTGTATATTTATCACTATTTCGTTGATCTCTGTATCCATTACTGTTCCAATAGTGTCTGTATCTGTCACTGTTCCACTGGCGTGTGTATCTGTTACTTTTCCATTGGTCCATTATCTACCACTCTTCCATTGGTCTATAAATCTGTCACTGTTCATTGGTCTGTGCATCTCTTACACCCATTGGGGCTTCTGTTTGTGTGTATCACTATTGCATTGTTCTGTGTATCTATTAATATTCCATTGGTATACTTTTTCCAGTACAATGATGATGATGTTGTTGTTGTTATGTGCCATTGAGTTGCTTACAACTCATAGTGACCCTTAGTACAACAGCTCTGAACCCTGTTCTATCCTGTGCCAAGCTTATTGTCTCTGACTCACCTATCCCAATTATACCAGTCACTGAATCAGTCCATCTAATTGAGGGTCTTCCTCTCTTGCACTCTCCCTCCACCCTCTCAAGCATGATATCCCTCTCCATGGACTGGTCATTCCTTGCAACATGCCCAGAATATGTCAGATAAAACTTCAGAATCTTTGCCTCCATGGAGCACCCTGGTTCCACCCTCTCTAGCACAAACCTGTTTGTTCTCCTAGCAGTTCATGGCATATTCAATACTCTTCTCCAGAACCACGACTCAAAGGCATCAGTCCGGCTTTTAACACCCCTAGTCATTGTCCAGCTTTCTGATACATAACAGTATTGATATACATAAAGTTAATTGTGTGATAATAACAAGGATATCATCCATAAAGAAACAAAAGGTAATTAAAAAGACAGAGGAGACAGGAAAAACAGAAATGGATGTCAGAAAGACTCACAAAAATTGCATCAGAGCATCGAGAAGCCAAAACAAAGGGAAAACACACTGAAGTAAAAGAACTGAACAGAAAATTTCAAATGGCAGCTTGAGAAAACAAAGAAAAGTATTATAATGGAATAAGCAGAGAGCTGAAATTGAAGGATAAAACTTGTTCTGCATTGCTCAAGCTGAGAGAACTGAAAAACAAATTTAAGCCTTGAGTGGCAATATTTAAAGATGCTATGAGCATTATTGTGGTCACTGTGAAGCTGAACACTGTGACACTGATATGTCAAATGTGATAACCGTTACCCATGGTGGACAGTGTTTGCTGGCGCTCCCTGGTTAAAACAAGCTTAGAAGCAGGAGTGGCATCCACTTCCATAAATAGCTTCCTCAGGAAACCCTATGAACATGGAGAAAGGAAGAAAGTCACGCACTCAAGTGTCGAGGACTTTCATTCATAGGGTCATAGGGTTGCTATGAGTTGCCTGTGACTTGACGGCACTGAACAACAACCACCACATGAGCATTATATTGAAGGACCAGGAAGCATCAAAAGAAGATGGAGGGAATACACAGAGACACTGTACCAAGAAGAACTCACTGACACCGAAAAATTTCCAGAAGTACCATATGAGCAGGAGCCAATGGTAACTAAAGGAAAACGTTGAAGTTGCACTGAAGGCAAGTGAACCAGCAAAAGTTTGTGAGAGCTCTGGCAGCCTTCCTCAAAAAGTCTGGGAAGCTGAAAGTCCCCAAAAGGGTAGACAATGTCGAGCTGTCCAAGCATAAAGAGCTTGCTCCCTATCATGAGAACTGGTTCTACCCATGAGCTGCTTCCACAGTGCAACACCTGTACCTCCAGGGTGGTGCTGGGGTTGGCTCCATAACCAAGGTCTGGGGGTGGAAGGGAGGCAGAGAAACCGCATCATTCCCTGCCACTTCAGGTAGGGCTTCAAAAGCGTGGTCTACTGGGTCCTCCAAGCCCTGGAAGGATTCAAGGTGGTGAAGAAGGACCAAGATGGAGGCCACAAACTGACACCTCCAGAACAGAGAGGTCTGGACAGAATCACCAGACAGTTAGCAGCTGCCAACAAGAAACATTAGAACAAATGATGCTGGATTAATAAGTTGCCTCATTCATAAATACATACAAACTAAGGCCCCAGGAATCAGTGGAATACCAATTGAC